AGCAGGGGTCACTAACCCCCCCGGGGCACTCCCACTCGTCTGGGCTGACCCTCAGAGCCCTTCACACCAGGTACCTGCTACCAAGGGCTGCAGCAGCAACGGGAGTGGAACCTATCTGCCACCCCAGAGGAGTAGCATGAGCCAAACGGGACAGCACATTTGGAGTGAACCCCAGGTACCTGAGGCTGAGCATTCTGCGGGCTCTCACGTTTCAGGGACTCGCCTTTGGAGACGTGGGCAAGCTTCAAGCCTGCGCCACCCTGCCACGGGCTGCACGGCTGGGATACGAGCATCACAGGTCTCGCTTTAGTCCAGGGGACACGGGGGCATCATCTTAGTAGTCACGCCCTAAAATGCAGCTTATTGGTCTGAAAGCTGTTCTACGAAAAGACCCTATTGGACAGCCTCAGTGTAAACCCCAGCATCTCCACGTAGATGATCGGCCGATGTTTGTTGAACGGGTGGATCATCGGAATCAAAGGACCGGGTTGGGACCGAGCCACTGTCACCTGGCGCAGTGGCCCGGGTCTGCATCCCTTTGGGAAGCTGATAAACGCCGCGGGCCCAGGAACACCCGGGGAAACACCCAGCAAGCCCCGCGCCTTCGCGGGACAGGTAAGAAATAGGCTCAACAGAAAGGACGGGAGCAGCGCTCACAACACCAAGGTTGCCGGTTCGATCCCCGCCCGGGCCACTGAGCTGCGCCCTCCACAACTAGATTGAAAACAACCACGTGACTTGGTGCTGATGGGTCCTGCAAAAAACACACTGTTCCCCGGTAAAAAAAATAAACAAAAAACAAAAAAAGGTAAAATCATGAAAAACCAGCGTTCTTTAAAACCCCCAGTGTGGGCGAGAGAAGCGTTTTAGCCAAGGTCGCCGGGACAGGCTCGGGGGAACGCACGCCAGCCCTCCCCGCGCCAGGCCTCCCCTCGCCCGCCGCCACCGTGCCTGCAGGCAGAGCGGGGACCCGGTCTCCCGTGGCCGGGGCTGGGGCCTCCTCGATCACCTCGCTGCCGGCAGTGCTCCACCTGGCAGTGCTGCCCGATGTCCAGCTCCGCCATCTCACGGGGGCAAGAGGGGCGGGGCGGGACAGAAGGGGCGGGGCGCCTGCGCGCGCGGCGCCTGCTGGGAGCGGCGGCGGGTCCAGGGGGCGGTGCCTGCAGGTGTGGGAAGGGCGATGGTCGGGGGGGCGGGGACGAGTGCTCGCGCGGCGCCTGCTGGGAGCGTCATGGACCCAGGGGGCGGAGCCTGCAGGTGTGGGCGGGGCGAAGGCCGGAAGCAGTCGGGGTGCCGTGAGTGCGCGCGATCCTGAATGTCTGCGATTAGGCACCAAGTGAGCCCAAAGAAAGGGGAGTTGGAAAATAACCAGTTGCCGTTCTGGAAGACGGCGTGCGGCCACCAGAATCGCGGATGGCCTGGCCAGGATTGCTTTTTTGAAAATTATTGTTATTAATTAACGGGACTCTAGCAGCCAGCACAGTGCCTGGCACAGGTATGTGCGAGAACCAAGGGAAGGAGAGAACAGTGGTTGTGCAGTTCCTGCTTCGTTCTGCACCAGTGATTCTTCATTTTATAGTTTAAGTACATGACCCGCGTAAAGGCGTTATTAGGGTTTCTAAAGGCTTCTTCTTCATTGTTGTCATTTACGTTCTCGTAGAAAAAAAACCCCTCTAGTTCCCCATCCAGACTCATTTAACACAGCCACCTGACGCCAGCGGCTGGTGATGCCATTGGGATGGGGGAGGGCCACGTGCAGGATGAGCCACTGCGAAGGGACTGAGCACAGACGATCACCTAGGTGGAGCACCCGTGGATGCCATCCCACTGACACAACACCAGACGCCACTCAGAGTGGATACGTGGCCATGAAACCCACTCATGGCAGGAACTGCCCAAGAATCCAGAGCCTCCCGTGTGCCCTGGGTATTCCAGTGCTTCCTGTATGAGTTTGGGCAGTCCCGAGTCAATGTTCATCGAGGAAGGGGAAGGGTGGGATTGGGGAACAGGTACCATGACTTGAGAGATCTACTGTTGAATGGATTTATTTCACATTTCCACGTTAGACGTGTGTGGCTCTCTGGGGACACTTTGGAGTTTAGACTGGAAGCAACCTAAGGTTTCATCTAGCTATCCCAGCCCTCTGTAGCTTTTTCTTTTTTAAGATGAGGAAACAGAGTCGTTAAAAAGTGAAATGATTTACCCCAAATTAGTGGAAGAGTCAGGACTAAAATCTATGTATCAAGGACTTCTGGTATTCTTGAATCTAAAAAATGGGTGATTTTTACCTGGATTTTGTAGGTTTACTTTAGCTGATGGGGTCAATCAGTGGCAAGTTTTCTAGAATTTTACTAAGTTCTCTAGAATTTACTAAGTAAATTCTGTTTCACTAGAATGTTCTACATAGGTGGGAAAAATATATTTTATCAATCCAATCATAATGGAAATAGTGTTAATTTTTTCAGTTCACTTAGCCTGGGGGAAGCATTAGATGCTGAGAGTAGCCAACACTATAGTTGCTAGCCCTTCCATCTTCCTCCTTTGCTGATACCGCTTTTAGATGCTACTTACCCATGTCCGTTTCCCCAAAATTTTGTCCTTGTTTCATTTATCAATTTTCATCCTCATACAAGGGACATTCCCATGTTCCAGTGACGCCCATATTCTCAGCCCTGAGAGCTTTCTCCCAAGCTGGAGGTCACTATTTCCATCTGTCTTTTAGACATATTTACTTGGTGTCATTTGTTATGTAAAACGCAAGTCCAAAATGGAGTGCTTTCTCACCATATCACCCCCTCCCTAACAAAGGCAGTCTACCACATTAGAGATCTGGGGGTTATTCTCCACCTCCTTTCTTACTTCTCTCAGGGCAGGAGCAATTAAACTATCAGTTGTGCCTCAGAAATGTCTCACAAACCTGTACTCTTCAATTCTCTGGTTATTTCTTCCCCCCCCCCACCCCTGAAACTCACTTCCTTGCCTGAGATCTTTCTTAGTGGTTCTCCATTATTCACAAGATTCACAGTCTCCAGCCTCAGCAACAACCGCTTCCCCTCTGACTCCCCACTCTGCAACCGTTTCCTGAATATACCTTCTGGCTCTTCATTTGTTCATACTTTTGCACATGCCTTTCCTTTTCCCTTGAATGTTCTCTATACCAGCGTTTTCCAAATTTCTTGAGAATAAGAATCAGGTGGAATGTTTGTTTATAAATACAGCTGCCTATATCCCACCCTGCGTCTGATTTAGAGGGCCTGGGGTGGGTCCTGGGAAGCTATGTTTAAAAATTCAAACTTTAAATCCATCCTTATCAAATCAGTTGAGGAAACAGATGTCTCTCTTACCCCACCTTCAAAATGTAATTTTGTTATTCTTTTCATCTGGGAAGGCTTTCTGAAGGCAAAGGCACAATTCAGTCTGCCAGGACATCGGCCACCTGCTCTAGTAGCACTTTCTATGGACTTTTCTTACTAGCACTAACCAGACAGTATTATAATTTACCTGCCCCCCCAAAAAAAAATCTCCAGTAGCTTCTATTAGCTACAAAATAAAATATGCACTCAAGTCACATCTATTACATATCAGATACTATTCTAGGTTTGATACAGAATTGAATACGACATGGCCCCTGACCTTAAGGCGCTCGCACAGTCTATGGAGGGATGTCTCTGCGTGGCATTTAGAGTCTTTGAAATCTTGGTCCACCTTACCTTTCTCTCACGCCTTATCTTTCAAATGCCTCTTGACACTTCGTACTCCCTGTGGCCACAGGCCCTTTGCACATGCTGTTCCTTGTACTTGGAATGCTCTTCTCGCCCCCATTGGATCTGGTTCCCTTCTGCTTTTCCTTGAGCTGTCACCTCAAGTATTTTTTCCTTAGGAAATTCCTCTTTGTTCTCCCTTACTAGGACACATCCTGCTGTGATTACATTCATTTCGTATCTCCTTCAAAGCATTTACCCCAGATTTGATTTTGCATTTGTTTGTATGATTACTTGATAAAAGTTTGTCTACCACTCTAACATGTAAGCTCCACGAGGACAGGAACCATGTCTGTTTTTCCTGTCTATTGTATTATAATTGCCCTGAGCCTATTTTTTAGATATTAAATAAATTTTTAGTGGATTAATGAATTAAAATTTTTTTTTTCCTAATTCTTCTATGCCCTACCCAAGTTGAATTACTACAGGTAGTCTGTACATGCCCTTGGCTTCCTCACCTCTGGGTCTTGTGCTGCTTTCTCTGTCATGGGACATTCTCCTGTCTATACAAATCAAGTTACTATCCATCCTTGAGGGCCAGAGTCAGATGTAATCTCTTCAAGACTTTCCCGTATTCTCCCCACTGTGGAGGCGTCACTCCTCTAGGACTCCTATTATTCTCTACTAAATCGAGTTACTTATAAATTTATTATAATTATTCTTATGCATAGCTTCTCCTTTACAGGCTATCGCCACCTTGATGGCTGGCTTCATCGTTGTGATTCTTTCAATCTATGATGATGCCATTCAGTCTGGCCCCAGCATGAATACAGGTGTAACAGACCTACACCCGGCGCACAGCGTGGAGCCATGCTCAGTCAGCCCAGTCCGAGGAGGAGCCACCCAGGTAAGCCTTTTCTCGCCCAGCCAAATTTCAATAGACTTGTAGGTCTGTGAGTTTGAGTATAAATGCTTATGGTCGTAAGTCCGGGAGTATTGGGGTGTTTTATAATACAGCACCCTCATGGCAATAGCTCACTTATATTCAGGGAATAAATGAAACAAAAGGTAAGTTATGACCGTCTTTCCCCATGTATAAGATGCACCTTAATTTGGGGGCCCGAAATGTGAAAAAAATGTATTACATAAAGTTATTGAACTCAAGTTTTAGTCATCATAAAATTCATATAACTCCTCATCACTTGCGGGAAATGCAAGTAAAAAAATCTACAACCACTGTGTAAGAAGCACCCAGTTTCTAGACCCCAAATTTTTCAAAAAAGGGCGTGTCTTATACATGGGGAAATACAGTACATAATTCACACGACAAATAAAATAATTTCTCCTCTCTGAATATCGGTTTATCTTGCATACCATGTTCTAAATCAAATTTTGAACATTCTAAATTGAAGCTTTAAGAAAAATAACAGGTAAAATTCTTTGATTATTATGTACCAGGCACTAAAATGGATCATTTCATTTAATCTTCACAACACTTTAAGATAGTTAACTATTATTATCCACATTTCATAGAATGGCTTATAAAAGTGACAACTCCCGCCTTTCTATCCCCAGTATCTAAAACCACTCTCTCCTCCCGTCCCCTCCCCAATGCCCTCTTAACTATATAATTGTACTTACAGCTATCCTGCCCAACCTCATGGGCTAGTCCCTTCGTGAAAAAGTACCGTCAGCTTTCCCTAAACTTGCCCTGTTATCTCCAACTACCTTTCAGCTCTAAAAAGTGGCTTCTCGGACCTGCCACGGATTGGATCAGATCCTTTGTAATATATCCTGGATTCCTACTGTTGCTGTCACAAGTTCCTACACATTTCGAGGCTGCAAACAACACACATGTATTACGCTACAGTGCTGAGGTCAGAAGTCCTAAAACCAATGTGTTGGTGCGACTGTGTCTTTTTGGAAGGCTCCAGGGCGAACACCGTTCCTCAGGCAGCCTGTGCGCCTTGGTCATGACCCCTTCCTCCTCTTCAATGCCAGCAAGGTGGCATCCTCAGATATCTCCTTTATCCTGTCTTTCTCCATCCTTCTCTTTCCACCAATCTCCTCTGACTCTGACCCTTTCACTTCCTTTTTCTAAAGACCGTTGTGATTACATTGTCCACCTGGATATCTCAAGGCCCTTAACATCACCACACCTCCAATGTCCCTTTAGCCGTATAAGGTAACACAGTCACAGCTTTCAGGATGAGGATGTGGACAACTGGAAGCGGAGATATTATTTTTACCTATCCCAATATGCATTCTTATAGTCCCCAGAATCGTTCCTGTGTAACTTGTATTACAATTTCCAAGATTGTATTTGCATGACTAATTATGTCTCCCCTTTGTCACCTGAAGAGACGAAGGCTGTGTCTTATTCATTGTTATCATCAGATCATTGTTCAGTGCTTGGCACATAGTAAGGCCTCAAAAAATATCTGTCCACTGAATCGATGAATGAACGAGCGGCCATTACAAAGGCGGTGAGAGTGTGCCTGGTCACTCCAAGCCAGAGTGGACAGGCCAGGGTTGCTGGAGCGGAGTGGACATGGGGGACGGTAGGATTGGACAGGGAGGTTCTGGCGAGGTGAGGGTGGGCGGCTATAGCGCTTCATAGAGGGGCGTGAAGACGTTTGTGAAGGGCTTGGCTTTTTACTGGAGCGGGGTGGGAAGTCAGTGGGGGTTTGACCCTGGCTCACTGTGCAGGGGGACAGCAGCAAGGTCATGGGGACCCTGGGGAGGTCAGGTTCGACGGCTACTGCGATATCTGTGCGAGAGGAGCGTGGCTCAGAGCAGGGTGTTGGCAGTGGTGGTGGCAGCGGCGGGTGGTCAGGCCTTTGTAGTAGTTATAGAGCCGTGGGCCCTGCGAGTGGATTGGATGTGGGGTGTGGGAGAAAAAGAGGGGTCAAGGTTTCTGTCCTGAACAAAAGGAAAGCTGTAGGTATCATCCACTGAGACGCGGTCTGTGCGTTCCTTGATTAGGGCCAGAATCTCCTGTGATTGTCTTCAGGTGTAACAAAATTCTGGCGGGAAAGGAAGTGCAAGAATCAAGCTTGGGTGGGTTACGCAGTAAGGGTGACAGTGAGGTAGAGGGCTGTATCCCATTTTATGTCAATTAAGTGGTTGGTGTAGGAAACATTTTACAGCCAAATGTGATAATCCTTAGAGTCTGTAACTGTTTTCCGGTCAAGGATAGACAGATATGAGACAACATGGATGAAGAGCTCTACAGGCAAAAGTTAGCCACGAGCACCATATACCTTCATTATGACGTAGGGCAACAACGTAACTTGCATTTGTGCAAAATTACAGTACTCCTTTCATAATAGCTACTTTTGTACTCATGGTTGTGACTGAGTGTTACGTACAACGAATGTCTGGTTCCAAGAAACGGAACTGCTGATGGAAAGAATGTGTGCATGCTTGTTGAGCTGCTTAATAAATAGCTTTCTGATGATGATTCCGCAGTATGTTTAAAGGGCGATTCTTCTTCCGTTGCTTTAGAGACTTTATTTGGAATTCTAAAAATGGATGTAATTCCACGGGGTGGCCAGAATGTATCAATTAGCCTGACACCCAGGTCTTTTTTTAACAGATCTATACATTTCCAATTTCCTTTGCCATCTTAACCACGGTAAATCATCCTGAACAAGATCATTCTCTCGAACAACAGCCTCTGTATTAGCTGAGATCAATTGAGATTAGAAAATGAAAAATACACTGGCTGCTGAGAACTCTTTATGAAACCGCGTTTGTAGGATGAGTAGTGAATGAAGATAAATGTGTTATTTTCCAGCTTCTACATCGTTGATTTAAAAATGTATTCTCTATCTCCCATTGCTGGATTAAGTACTCATAGCTATTTGGATGGCTTGCTGGCCTGCAACCATTATCTTCTCCCTACTGAGGTTCTGCATGAATGGGAGGGAATGATTTTTAATTCATGTATCTCTTGCGTTGCACGCCACATCTGTTTCTCAAAGTGCTACCCATTAAATTGGGTGAAACGGATTATTTTTTCTACTGAATTAGAAATTAACAACTAAACCCTTTGTTGTAATTTCTGATTGATCCGCATTTGCTCTTTGGATAAAATACAAGATTTTTATTAGCATGTGATGTGGACCCTATGTGAACTGGAGCCTGTCTCTCTTTGGAGACAATCTCACAGTATTCTCCTCATTTGTCCCCAAGCCCTAGCTCTCCTGGCCTTCTTTTGAACCCTAATACTCCAGACCCAAGATTTTTGCACATATTGTCTAAAATCCAAATTCTCCAACAGTCCCTGTTTTATTTTTTCCCACATAGCACATATAATACATTGCTTTCTTAATTAATTAATTGTCTGTCTTCCCCTAACTAGAAAGTGGGCTCCGCACAATGCATGGGTTTAGTTTTTCTTTTTTTCACTGCTGAATCTCTAGCATCCAGAACGTTGTTGGGTATACAGCACGTGCTCAGGAAAAATGATGTTACTGCTATTGCTGGAAGGGTAAGCTCCTTTAGGGCAGGCTATTCCTGTATTCCCAACACCTTATATATGGAATACACTCAATAAAGGCTGGTTAAAGGGACCAGCAATGGGGACTGTACCAGAATACATGCTACTTCTCAACTCTTAAGGGGTATACAGTCTGAGAAAATACATTCCAAAACAGACGCGTGAAATATTTAGATAATAATAAAATACAATGCTGATTGCACCTCCCAATTCAGAGAAGATTTGAGCAAAATATGTGTTACAGACCATCCGTGTTTTGGATGGCCAGGTGGGAAATGATAAGATGTGGCTGGCGGTGCTTTGGGGGAAATAATAAGTTTGTATGGTTTTGTGTGTGAGACAGAAACCAGTGAGCCTCCTGTGAAAGTGTCTCATTTCTGGGGCGACTTTTGATGCTGGCGATTCCAGTGTTGGATGAAATGGACCAGACTGCTTCTGTGTCAGTATGACGCAGACAAACTGGGTTACTGATCGTGGGCCTCGAGGTGTATTTGTCTAAGTAATGGACGCGTTTTCCCCCCCTTTAACAATCAGTGGTTAGCTAACGATCAGAAAGTGGTTCCGGTGATGTTGGGTGATGTTGCTCAAATAGGGCTGTATTATGTGGGGCACACACTGGCCCCCGACAGCTAGGACACAGACTCAGTTCCCTGTTCCATTTCCATATGTCCGTGACAGTACGTATCCTGTCATTTCATCCTACCAAACTCTGTTCCCAGCTCTCAGAGATGCGGCTGACGTAGTGAGCACGAAGAAAAAAAGAATGCTTCTTTTCTCTGGGACATTCTCTCCTTTTTCCCTTAGCCGTCTCTGTAAAGGCATGTGAGATAGATGCAAACCCAAACACACCCCATTCAAGGTTTCTGATACACCAACAATCACGCTGGACACCTCAGGTTCCGAATTACAGGATCGGATGCAACCACCAGACTCCCTCGGAAGTCCTGGTGTTAGGGAAGAAGATGACCGCCATCTTTCGAGCCAGGTCAGGATGATGTAGAAATGACCCATGCCAACGGGCAGCCCAGCACCCAGGGGCCTGCCCGGATTCCTCACCTGCAGAGACAAGCCCGGCCAGACCAGCTGCTCCTAGAGAGAGCCACTTGCCTGCACACCTGCACCACGGGGCAGCCCTGCGTCCTGCGAGCCCGTGCACACACACACACCCACATGCCACACGGCCAGGGGGACAAATGTACAAGAACACCCCCCCCACACACACACACACAGACACACAGACACACACACACACACACACACACACACACTCCACAAAAAGCACGTGCAGAACACAGCATTTTGTTTATCAGGGACACACACGCACAGCGCTCTGCACAAGACCCCTGGGACATTGCTTTGCTGTCCCCTGCCTGGACAGCGCGGCGCTTTGCTGCGGTCCCGTC